TTTTATTTTTGGACACTGTTTTTAATAGAAATCTGTTATGCTCAGTCACTACGGAAAATATTTTATTGAACATTGTAATTTTACTCGTAAAATAGAATTTATTTTCAAAAATTTGAATGAAATTCTTGACAAAATTTTAATTATTTTCAAAAATTTTTTTCAATTCAATGATTTTCAATGTCTACTATTTTAATGAAATTATCCAATAGAATTCAATTAAATAAAAAAAAATGTTAATGAAATTCTAGGCAAAGATTTAATAATTTTCATAAATAATAAAAATTCCACAGGAATTAAATTATTTACAAATTTTTTTTAAATTTCTGCAATTAAATTATTTTCAACATTAAAAATATTTTCTTCAGTAATTCAATTTAATTTTCATAAATAATAAAATTCTTTTCAGCAATTCAATTATTTTCATAAATAATAAAAATCATCGCAAAATTTCAATTATTTTTAATACAATTTTAATTTTTTGATAAAATTCTTTATTAGAATTCAAATTTAAGAAACATTGAATTATTCAATAAATTATTTATTTTTGTATTTAAATAATTGAATTCTCGTAGGATTTTCCAGTAAAAATTGATTTAAAATTGAATTTTACTTAGAATTTCATATAATAATTGAATATAAAAAGCATTATAGCGTGAATTTTTAGAAATAATTGAATTTTGAAAAGTTTTTTCAAATTAAAATTTTTGAAATTCGGAATTTTTCGTACTTTTAACTAACAATTTAGTAGATGTAATTTTTTTTGAAAGAGAATTGAAGAATTTTCGAATAATCGAAATTTCGTAAAATTGTATTGTAAACAAAGGGATTTGAAAATTCATAGAGAACTTTTTCAAAATTTATTAAAAATAATTGATTTAAGGAAGAATTTTAGTTAAAAACACTAAATAAAAATTAAATTTTGAAGAAGTGACAAACTATTGGAGAAATTCAACTATTTCCAAAGTAATAAATTTTTTTTCGCAGAAATTCAATTATTAAAAATTTGTATTAAATTTCAATTATTTCAAAATTTTTCCTCCATTCGCATTCAATGATTTTCAATATCGACTATTTTTTTTCTTTTCATTATTTATTTTAATAAATTTTTCCAAAAGAATTCAATTACTTAAACAAAAATTTTGATAAAATTCTACACAAACATTTAATTATTTTTATAAATAATAAAAATTTCACAGGAATTCAATTATTTACAAATTTCTTATAAGTTTCTTCACAATTATTCAATTATTTGAATGTATAATAAAATTTAATTATTTTTATAAATAATAACACTCATCGCAGAGATTCAATTACTTTTAATACAATTTTAATCGAATTCCTCGAAAAATGTAATTATTCTTAAAAGTTTCTTTTAAATTTTCTTAAAGAATTTAATTTTTTAAAAATTTCTTGATAAAATTATTTATGAGAATTTATTTTTAAGCAAAATTAAATTATTCAATAAATTATTTATTTTTTGTATTTAAATGATCGAATAAATTGTCTTAGAATTTTCTAATAACTGATTTAAAAATGAATTTCTGTTAAAATTTTAGATAATAATTGAATATTAAAAGCATTGTAACCTTAATTTTCATAAGTAATTGAATTTTGAAGAGGTTTCAAATTAAAATCTTGGAAAATTTGAATTTTTCATACTTTTAACTGACAATTCTGTATAATTTTTTTTGTTTGGAAAAGTTTAATTGAATGTTCTTTTAAATTATTTGCAATTTTTATTTTCAAATATTTATATTTAATTGAAGAAAAAAATTCACAAAGAACTTTTTCAAAAATTATTAAAAATAATTAATTTAAAGAAGAATTTTAGGTAAAAATTGTAGAAAATAATAATTGAATTAAAATGATGAAAATAATTTGGAAGAAGTTACAGTAAAAATATTCTTATAATGTAAAATTGTGATTTTATCCCTCTGTCATTTTTAATTATTAGAAAACATGAAAAAATCAAAGACTCGGAGTGATCAATTTCTGTATGTTTTATAAGAATATTTTTATAATTTATTGAATTTCAAAACGGTTTGTATTTGAAATTTTTTTGAAAATTTTAATTTTTACGGAAAAATAATAATGATGAAATATTTATTTCAAAATGAAGTTATTGATGTTTTCGAATAATTTTACAATTATTAAAGAAGTTTGTAAATAAATGCGATAGAACATTTTTTTTGAGTATCAGATAATTTTGAAACTGAATCAGAATATTCTTTAGGGGCAGGGAAAAAGTGAAAATGTTTTCTGGAAATCAGAGAAAAACAAAATTAAATTTTTGTGTCAAACCTGTAGATGGAAAATAAGTGAAATTTTTTTTAATTTTAAAAGTTAAAATTTTTGTAACCTTTATTATTTTGAGAATATTTTTCTAATTTTAATTAATTTTGAAACTTAAATTATTCAGAAAGTGAAGTTGATATTAAATAAAAAATTTTGTAATTTGCATAGAATAATAATAATAATAATAATTTAAATACTGAAGTTTGCATGTAACTTTTGCTAGTACAATGAATATTAATGAATGCAAGTAACTTACATTTTAAAGAGAATAATATTCTTGAAAGTAATTATATAATAATTTAATAAATTCTTCTGGAATTAAAAAACGAAGAGAATGCAACATATTTCAGGCATGTTGATTCTACTTCTCCTGTCAAGTTAAGAACTTTATTTACTGAACTTAAAAACATGTATTCTGAATAAATACGCTAAAAGTTAAAATATTGTTACACACGTGTATAAAAGTGGAAATTGAAATTCTGTTTTTGAGTATTGATATTTTTCTACTCTACGGAATTCTTCATCATCATGTGTCATGACTGAGAAGGATTTCAAAACTTAAAATGCTTTGTTTTTGCTATATGCAATATTGACGTGGATCCTAAAGGTTTTTTTAACAGAAAGCGCATTGTAGTTTCTGAATAAGACTTCCGTAAAATATTTACGACTTCTTAGATCTTTATCAAATACTCTTTACAGAGAAAACCTTTTATTTTACTTCTTGAGGCAGGAAAATGGTGTTAACAAGTATAGATATTTACAAAAATTTTAAGAAATATCTTTTTGTAAAATTGTTTTAGGTTCGAATAGAAATGTTATTCAACAGACATTTTAATACAATTGAAAAATATTTATTTGGAAAACAAAATTTTAACCCTAGAACAGATTTTTTTTATCCTTTAACGGAAAAATTTTCAGGGAAAAGTCAGGGATTTTTAGTAAAAATACTGGAAAAAATTGAATTTTTAAAATTCATAAGAAAACTCTGAATTTTGATGTTTTTTTTTTGTTTGCCTCGTAAACTATGAAATTACCACGAATTTTAATACAAAACCTTCAATTTTTTTTATTTCTGACAATAATTTCTTTCTAAATAACTTAATTTTTCAAGAACTATCATAAAATTATGACTTAGAAATTATTTAATGAATAATTTTTACAATTTTCATAACTACTAGATTGACAGAAGAATTTTAGTTAAAAATACTAAAAAAAATTGAATTTCGGAAAAGTTACAAATGATTCCAGAAATTCAATTATTTTCAAAAGTAATAATAATTCTTCGCAGAACTTCAATTATGTTCGAAAAATTAAAAAAAAAATTATCGTCAAAATTTCAATTATCTTTATAAAAAAAAAATTCTTCTCGAAATTCAATTATTTTTAAAAATTTTAATAAAATTCTTATCAAAATTTCATAGGCATTCAATTATTTACAAAAGTTTAAATAAATGTCTTCGAAATAATTCAATTATTTTCATAAGTAATAAAATTTTCACAGGAATTCAATTATTTAATATACATTTCATAAAATTTTTTGAAAAATATCAATCATTTAAAAAGATTTTTATAAAATGCGTCGCAAGAATTCAATTATTTAAAACTTTAACAATGTTCTTTTCAAGAATTCAATTATTTTTATAAATAATAAAATTCTTCACCGAAATTCAATTATTTTTATAAACTTGAATAAAATTCGTTGCAAGGATTCTGTTATTTATATAAATAATAAAATTCTTCACAGAAATTCAGTTATTTTTATAATCTTTTGAATAAAATTCGTTGGAATTATTAAATTATTTTCATAAGTAATAAAATTCTTCGCAGAAATTCAATTATGTTAAAAATTAGAAAAAAAATTCTTGTCAAAATTTCAAGTATCTTTATAATAATAAAATTCTTCTCAGAAATTCAATTATTTTAGAAAAATTTTAATAACTTTTTGGGAAAATTGTAATTATTTTTAAAAATAATAAAACTCATTACAAAATTGCAATTATTTTTAATACAATTTTAATCGAATTCCTCAAAAAATGTAATTATTCTTAAAAATTTCTGTTAAAATTTGTCAAAAAAATTCAATTATTTAAAAATTTGTTGATAAAATTCTTTATGAAAATTCAATTTTAACAAACATTCAACTATTCAATAAATTATTTATTTTTTAATTTAAATAATTGAATTCTTCCAAAATTTTCTAATGAAATTTGATTTAAAAATGAATTACCGAATAATCGATATATTATTTATAAAAATAATTGAATTCTTGCAAAACGAATTTTATTACCTTTTTTCAAATAATTATTTTTTTTTGAGAAATTGTACTACTTTTAAAATAATTTCAATGAAAAATTAAAATTATTTTTATGCAATAAATTTTAGCTTAAATTATTTTCTTTCTAAAAATTATGAAACTGGAGTTTTCTAAATTCAATAAAATTTAAATTTAAAAAGTTTTATTTGAAGCTAAAAACAAATGTTCAGTTTGTGGTTTTGAATTTAATAAAATTTAAATTTAAAGTTTTATTTGAAGCTAAAAGCAAATGTTTATTTTGTGGTTTTGTCCAAGGAGTTAGGCATATCTTAAATATAAATATTTTTAGTTTACTTAGACAATTTGTAAATTAGAAATTTAAAAATATTTTTAAAAAATATTTTCTTTTGTTTATTGAGAAATTATAATAACCGTATTTTTTCTTTTTCAGGTCTCTTTCACTGGCGGAGTATCGGTAAATATTATTTTTTTTAAATCTATTTGTAGCTTTAGGCATTGTGAGTCATCACGTTTTATTGGAAAACTGTGTAGAAAAAGTTAACAATATTATTAATATTTGTGCTTAAAGAATGATAAAAGACAAAAAATGTTCCTAACTATATCAGTTATTTAAAAATACAGATTAATTTTTTTATTAAGCGTACTTTTTTCATATTCTGGAAGATTAACATTTGTTTGTAAAATTTTAGGTTATGTTACTTAAACTGTTTTCTATTGACGGAAAATTCTAATATTTATTTTGATACCTTTAATCAGGGATGGCAACCGAAACCAATAACCGAAAAAAAAGAAATTTTTAAATAACCGAAAACTAGAAATCGAAACTGAAAAAAATTATCTGTAACCGGAGACCGAAACCTGTATTATAAAAATTTATAGGTTTGCCACAAGTCAGGGAATTCAGGAAAAAGTCAGGGATTTTTATTAAAAGTACAGGAAAAAATTAAATTTTTAGAATTTAAGAAAAAATTCTGAATTTTGGGGTCTTTTTTGTTTGCCTCACAAACTATGAAATTACCACGAATTTTAATACAAAACCTTCAAATTTTTCTACTTCTGACAATAATTTATTTTAAATAAATTAATTCTATTGAAGAACTGCCATAAAGTTATTACTTATAAATCATTTAATGAAAGTATTTTTTTGAAAAACTTTCATTTCAATTCCGTTGAAATTAGTTTCAATTTAAAAAATTTTAACGCAATTCTTTGAAATAATTCAATTATCTTAATAAATATTAAAATTCTTTCCAGAAAATTTCTGTTATTATCAAAAATTTAATAAAAAATTCTCGTCAACATTTCAATTATCTTTATAAATAGCAAAATTCTTCGCTGAAATTCAATAATATTATTCAGGAATTTTTCTAAAATTCATTGTAAAATTCAATTATTTTTAAAAGTTTTTCGCGATTTAATAATTTTCAATATTTACTATTTTCATAAAATTTATCAAACAAATTTTATTAGGTACTAAAAAAAATTTTATTACAATTTTACGAAAACATTCAATTATCTTCATAAATATTAGAATTTCATTTAGGAATTCGAATTATTTTCATCGCAGAATTTCAAATATACTTTTAATACAATTTTAAATAAATTCCTCGAAAAATGCAATTAATCTTAAAAAGAAATTTTAAGAAACATTTAATTATTCAATAAAATAATAAAATTAGTGTCAATAATTCAATTATTTTCATAAATAACTTTTAATTCGTCGCAGAAAATCAATTATTTCCAAAGGTTTTATGTAATTTTGCAAAAGAATTCAATTATCTTAATAAACAACAAAATTATTCCCGAAAATTCAATTATTTTTAGGGCATTTTAATAAATTTTTTCCTAAATTCAATTATTTTGATAAAAATCAATATTCACCACAAGAATTCAATAGTTTAGAAAAATAATAAATAATATTATATAATAATAATAATTCTCAAAATTTTTTTAAAAATTCTTGTCAAGAATTAAATTATCAATATAAATAGATAGCGAAATTCTTCTCAAGAATTAAATTATTGTCAAATATTTTAATAAAATTCTTCGCATGAATCGAATTATTTACATAAATTATTATTTAAATTCTTCTCAAGAATTCAATTGTTTTTAAAAATAATATTAATTCTTTAATAAAATTCTTCAAAAAGTTTTCAATTATTTTAAAAAATTGTTATAAAATTCTTTTATATAATAAATTTCAGTAAAATTTCAAATTTAATTTCTTTAAAAAATCATATATTTTCAAAAGTTGTTAATAAAATAAAAATTCTTCGTAAAAATTAAATTTCAAGTTTTTATTTTCTAAAGTAATATTTAACTGAAGATTTTTCAAATAATCGAAATTTCATAAAATTGAATTGTGAACTGATGGATTTAAAAATTCTCAAAGAGCTTTTTTAAAAATTATTAAAAATAATTGATTTCAAGAAGAATTGTAGTTAAAAATTCAAGAAAATGTTTATTGAATATTGAAATGATGAAAATAATTTTGACGAAGTAAAAGTAAAAATATTTTTTTATAATATCAACTAATGATTTTATCACACGGTCATTTTTAATTATTATAAAACATGAAGAAAGCTATTACTCCGAGTCGAAGACTCGGAGTGATTGATTACTTCATGTTTTATAATAATTCCCACAGTTGTTGAATTTGAAAAAAGTTTAAATTAAAAATTTGTTAACATCTTAATTCCAATGAAAAAATAATAATGATTAAATATTTATTTAAAGAAGAAGTTATTGATGTTTTTGAATAATTTTACAATTAAAGAAATTACTAAATAAATGTATTACTCGATGTATTAGAGAATTTTTGTGAGTATTTAATCATTGTTGGAGTGAATCAGAATATTTTATTAGAGTCAGGGAAAAAGTGAAAATCAGTCAGGAAAAAGTCTATATACAAATATAGCAAGTGCTGCAAAGTTCACGGTCAAAAAAACGGTCAAAAACGTTCACGTCAAAAAAACAACAAAAATTAGCTTTTAGATAGTAGGTTCGACTCCATATTTCCATGATTTAATATTAATAGTAACAGATACAAATAAAGCTGATTGCTTTGTTGTGTTCTTCGATGAAAGTTTAAATAAGTTTCCACAATAGCAGCAGCAGCAGCAGCAGTTGGACATTTCCGTGGGATATTGAAACAAGACAGTTAACAACTTACACAAGTCGATATCTAACCTCTGCATTTTTACACCGCAACACAACAAACTGATTCTGTTTAATAATTTAATTGTTTCCATCAGAAACTGTTGATTCAATAGAAGACACAAAACAGATTTTCATGTATAGAGAGCAAATGTCAATTTGAAAATGATCAAGTTTCGTATATTCAGGATCAAGGCCATTCTACGTTTATGCTCATAAGAACTTTACTTGTGAAGCTTACGCTATCAAAATAGAGTTGAGTGATAAGTTGTTGCTTTTAGAGGAAAGTAGTTGCCTCCAAATTTAGTTAAGTTTCAAATGGGTATTGAAAACGATCCTAACTGGGATTATGAGTTGTAATATGTTTACGATATTGTCAGAGATGCATTTAACGATAAGCTTTACGAGTTTATTCGGTTTAATTTTAATGGAATTGAACTCTTTCTAAAACATTCTACTCGATGCTATTGTCTTTAAACTATTATTTTTTTCTTCACAGTAAAATATGTAGTTTATAGCAAATATAATGTTTATCTACTCGTAAATAAACCGTTCCTTCATAATGTTGTTTACCTTTGAGTTCATTGACTTATTTTAATACTTAGATATATTGTTGTGCCTATACCTTTCCAAATTTCAGGCTTCGTACTCATCTATTAAAACCTACTATATTTACTACTTTTTTAAGTTAAGCTACTATTTGGGCACTTTTTTAAAATTTCAGTCACTAAACGCTACTATTTCTGTTTTTTTTTTTAGAATTTCCACTACATTAAATTCGCTAATACTAGAAATCAAAAAACTATTGCCAAAAATTATAATCAAATTCTTTAAAACGATTCAATTATTTTCAATATCTAATATTTTCATAAAATTTAGCAAAATAATTCAATTATTTTCAAAAAAAGTTGATACAATTCATCCAAAATTCAATTATTTTCATACATAATCAAATTCCCACAAGAATTCAATTAGTTCAGAATAGCATTTTCAAAAAAATGTCGAAAATATCAATTATTTAACAAAATTTTTATACAATTCTTTACAATAATTCAATTACTTTCACTAAAAATAACATTTTTCATAGAAATTCAACTTCTAAACAAAATTTTGCTAAAATTCTAAGCAAGAATTCAATTATTTTCATAAATAATAAAACTCATCGAAGAATTTCAATTATTTTTAATACTATTTAAAATTAATTAATCGAAAAATTCAATTATTTTTACAAATAAAGTTTACCACAAGAATTCAATCATTTTCAAAAATAACAAAATTTTTCACAATAATTCGATTATTTTCATAAATAAAAAAATTCTCCTCAGGAATTCAATTATTTTTGAGGCATTTTAATAAAATTCAATTATTCAACTATTCAATTCTTTTCATAAAATGTTCGAAATTCATCGCAGGATTTCAATTATTTTTATTACAATTTTACAGGAATTGCTCAAAAAATGTCATTGTTCTTAAAAATTGAATTTCAATTCCTCGAAAAAATCAATTATTTAAACAAATATTTTTTAAAATTCTTTGGAAGAATTCAATTATTTACAAAAATATTAGATTTAAATTTTTTTGAAATCATTCAATTCTTCTTTTAGATTTTAATAAAATTCTTCCCTAGAATTCAATTATTAACATAAATAATTCTTCGAAAAAATTCAATTATGTTGATAAATAACAAAATTATTCCTGAAAATTAAATTTTTTTTGAGGCATTTTAATAAAATTCTTTGCAAAATTCAATTATTTTCACAAAAAATAATATTTATTACAAGAATTCAATTATTATTAAAAGTAATAAATTTTTTCGTCAAAATTTAATTGTTTTCAAAAATTCTAATAAAATCGTTCGCAGGAATTCAAGTATTTCCATAAATAATAAAATTCTTTTCAGGAATTCAATTATTTTTGAAGATTTTAATAAAATTTCTATGCAACTATTCAATTATTTTTATAAATAATGAACTTCACTGCAGGATTTCAATTATTTTTAATACAATTTTACAGGAATTGCTAAAAAAATGTAATTATTCTTAAAAATTTAATTTCAATTCCTCGAAGAAATCAATTATTTTAAAAAATGTTTTCTAAAATTCTTTAGAAGAATTCAATTATTTACAAAAATATTGGAATTTTTCACAGGAATTCAATTATTTTTAAATGTTTTAATAAAATTGTTCGAAAGAAATAAATTAATATTTTTATTAATTTTAATTTTATTTTATTAATATTTTAAATAATTATTTAAAATACAAGTTTTATTAAATTTTTTTGAAATAATTCAATTATTCTTTTAGATTTTAATAAAATTTTTCCCTAGAATTTAATTATTAAAGATAAATAACAAAATTATTCCCGGATAATTCAATTAATTTTAATCAAATTTTTTGCAAAATTCAATTATTTTCATAAATAACAATATTCATCACAAGAATTCAATTATTTTTAAAATCAATATATTTTTTCTTGGAAATTCAATTATTTAAAAAAAAATTTAATAAAATCGTTCGCAAGAATTCAATTATTTTCATAAATAATAAAATTCTTCTCAGGAATTCAATTATTTTTGAAGATTTTAATAAAATTCTATGCAACTATAATTCAATTATTTTTATAAATAATAAAAAATTCACTGCAGGATTTTAATTATTTTTAATACAATTTTACAGGAATTGATTAAAAAATGTAATTATTCATAAAAATTTAATTTCAATTCCTCGAAAAAATAAATTATTTAGAAAAATGTTTTTTAAAATTCTTTAAAAGAATTCAATTATTTACAAAAATATTAGAATTTTTCACAGGAATTCAATTATTTTCAAATATTTTAATAAGATTGTTTGAAAGAAATCAATTATTTTAGATACAATTTTAATTACATTTTTTTGAAATAATTCAATTTTTCTTTTCGATTTTAATAAAATTCTTCCCAAGAATTCAATTATGTACATAAATAATTCTTCGAAAAAATTCAATTATGTCGACGAATAATAAAATTATTCCTGAAAATTAAATTATTTTGAGGCATTTTAATAAAATTCTTTGCAAAATTCAATTATTTGTTATTTGAAAGTAATAAATTTTTTCCTGGAAATTCAATTATTTTTAAAAATTCTAATAAAATCAGTCTCAAGAATTTAATAATAAAATGCTTTTTAGGAATTAAATTATTTAAAAAAAAATGAATAAAATTCTACACAGACATTCAATTATTCTTAAAAATTTTAATAGAAATCTTTGAAAAATTTAATTATTTTTTAAAAATTTTTTGCAGTTCAATGATTTTTAATATCTACTATTTTCATAAAATTCACAAACAAAACTCAATTATTTAAAAAGATTTTTATAAAAATCTTCGTAAGAATTCAATTTTTTTCATGAATAATACAAATTTCTCAGAAATTCAATTATTTCAATTGGAATTTGCATAAAATTAGTCGAAAGAAATCAATTATTTATAAATATTTATAAAATTTTTTGTGTCTAAAGCGAGTTTTTTTGGTCATCAAGTTTACTTTTTCGATCTATACTTTTTTAGTTTAAAAACTACTTTTTGCTACTTTTTAAAAATTATTTATGGAGTGCGAAGTCTGAAATTTAATTACATTCAGTTATGACTTTAGTATCGAAATGAGAATTGGAATGGTGAAAAATATAGTTTAAATGATTTAAAATGTAAAAACAAGTATATTGTAGGATAAAGTAATTAATTTACCGACAGTAATGCGAATCTTAAAAGAAAAGATACTTTGTAAATTGTAACATTGAGTGTAACTCTTCAAAAACTGCATATGCATCTGAAAGTTACGGTCTTTATCAACTTCTTTTAGCACTAAATATTTATCTATAAAGATAGGAACTTTCTGTCCTAGTTCTGTAACATAATATTGAAAAGAATATGAAATAGGTGAGCGCATTTACTTAAACCAATATTAAACACTTGCTGACAGTTTAAATAAAATTACCAGTATGCGTTGTGTTTAGACAATCATCTCATACCACTAAAGGTTAAAACAAGTTATCTTCACTTCGGTGGCTAATTTTCAACTTTCTGGTCTTTATGGAGTTAGAATCAATTAGCATCATGAACAAATGAACATTTTAAACAATTTTTTAAATAATTGGTTGGTAATTAAAGCATTTATTTTAAATCCACACCTCGATGAGACAAAAATATTTATTTTTAGTGATAATTTCAAAAAATTGGTGTGATTACATATTATAGAACCATGTGTTACTGTTTATTTAGTAGCTAATAAAAACTTTGCAAAATGTAACAACAGAAGTTATAAATCATGAAATTATGAGTGCGAAGAAACAGTAAAAACGAAGTTTCTGCTATAACGTATTTATAAAAACAAAAGTAGGCAAACAAAATTTTGTAATTAAAGTTTAGGAAGTTTTTACCGTCTCAGAATTATCGACAAATTTATTACCGCAATGAGTTAGTTGCATGGAAATGGCAACTGTTTTTTAATTGAAAATATTTGTTGAAAGATTCAAAATAGTCGTAAAAAGTTTGTTGAAGTTCAGCTTTGTTTTTAAAAACAAAAAAATAAAAAAAATAGGATCAAAATTCGGTAACCTTCTTGTGTTTGTTCTCGGTAACTAAAAATAAGTTAGGCAAATTACAGGCCCTCAGAAACATATTTTTATAAAAATCCAACAAGTTTTTAAAATTTGTCCGCCATTTTGAATTTTTAAAAACTGTCATCGGATTTGTAATCATCGACTCAAAAATGAACCCAAAGTAAGAAGTTTCATGTGAATCCGAACAATTTTTAGAAGGTTCGCCATTTTGAATTTTAAGAAACTGCAACTTCAGATTCGTAATCAGCGATCTCGAAAACCCCCAAGTAGTCATTTTCATTAGTTTAGCTTTATTTAATTTTCGATTTTGTAATTTTGTCGTAAATCTTGCCATAAACATTCTTTTTCTATTATTGTTATAAATAAAAAATTGTTAATTCTTTATTGCAATATAAATTTTTTTTCACAAAGTTGAATAAATGAGGCGCATGATTATTCCCCAAATGTCAATTGACCGAACTGTCATTTTAACGAATTGCATTTGTTCGAACTGTTATTTTAACGAAATGTCACTTTTGTGAATCGACATTTTTACGAATTCATACTTTTGCGAAAAGTCATTTTTGCAAAATATCATTTTTACGAATTGGCATATTTACGAATCGTTATTGTTCCGAAATGTAATTTTTGCGAATTGTCGTATATGCGAACTGCCATTTTTTCGAATTGTCATTTTTACGAAATGTCATTTTTGCGAATCGCCATTTTTACGAATTGTCACTTTTGCGAAAAGTCATTTTTGTGAATTGTCATTTATGCGAACTGACAATTTTTCGAATTTTCATTTTTACAAAATGCCAATTCGCAACAGTGACATTACGTAGAAATGAAAATTCGTAAAATTGTCAGTTTGCATAAATGACAATTCGCAAAAATGACTTTTCGCAAAAGCGACAATTCGTAAAAATTTTATTTCGCAAAAGTGCCAATTCGTAAAAATGTCGATTCACAAAAGTGAAATTTCGTAAAAATGACAATTCGTAAAATTGTCAGTTTGCATAAATGACAATTCGCAAAAATGACTTTTCGCAAAAGCGACAATTCGTAAAAATTATATTTCGCAAAAGTGCCAATTCGTAAAAATTTCGATTTACAAAAGTGACGTTTCGTTAACCACTTGAGCGGCAGGGCGTCAGAATTGGCGTCAGCGTGCAAGTGACAGAAGCGGCAAAAATGCGAAAAAGGCGTCAAAATTTGACTACTATTTTCTCATTCTGTAAGGAGATTTATAATATCACAACAAAGTATTTTTCTTTCTTAAAGTGAAAGAACAGACCTGTAAGCAAAAAAAATGTTTTTTAAAATATTTAAATAAGTTTTCAAGGATCAAAGCTAACAATATTTAATAGTTTGATATTAGTGGCGTTTCAATTTCTACCACAAAAAGTCCAATTTTTCTTCACGAAATCGAAATATTTAAAAAAGCATTTTTTTGTTTAAAGATCTGCTCATTTACTTTAAAAAAGAAAAATACTTTGTTGTGATATTATAAATCTCCTTACAGAATGAGAAAATAGTAGTCAAATTTTGACGCCTTTTACGCATTTTTGCCGCTTCTGTCACTTGCACGCTGACGCCAATTCTGACGCACTGCCGCTCAAGTGGTTAATATGACAATTCGTAAAAATGATATTTTGCAAAAATTACTTTTCGCAAAAGTGGCAATTCGTAAAAATGGTATTTCGCAAAAATGACTTTGCAAATTTGGCAATTCGTAAAAATGACAATTCGTAAAAGTGACATTTCGTTAAAATAGCAGTTCGGAAAAATTATATTTCGGAACAATAACGATTCGTAAATATGACAATTCGTAAAAATGATATTTCGCAAAAGTGGAAATTCGTAAAAATGACAATTCGCAAAAGTGCCAATTCGTAAAAATGTCGATTCACAAAAGTGACATTTCGTAAAAATGACAATTCGAAAAATTGTCAGTTTGCATAAATGACAATTCACAAAAATGACTTCTCGCAAAAGTGACAATTCGTAAAAATTATATTTAGCAAAAGAGGCAATTCGGAAAAATGTCGATTTACAAAAGTGACATTTCGTTAATATGACAATTCGTAAAAATGATATTTCGCAAAAATTACTTTTCGCAAAAGTGGCAATTCGTAAAAATGTCGATTCAAAAAAGTGACATTTCGTTAAAATAACAGTTCGGAAAAATTATATTTCGGAACAATAACGAATCGTAAATATGACAATTCGTAAAAATGATATTTCGCAAAAGTGGTAATTCGTAAAAATGACAATTCGCAAAAGTGGCATTTCGTAAAAATGGAGATTCGCAAAAATGACATTTCGTAAAAATGACAATTCGAAAAAATTACATTTTGAAACAATAACGATTCGTAAATATGACAATTCGTAAAAATGACTTTTCGCAAAAGTGTCAATTCGTAAAAATGTCGATTCGAAAAAGTGACATTTCGTTAAAATAACAGTTCGGATAAATTCAATTCGGTAAAATGACAGTTCGGTAAAATGATATTTGGGGAATAATCATGCGCCTCCTGCCTTTAGAATAGTGTTACCCCTTAAGTAGATTTGAATAAATTGGAAAGATAATGTGAGGTTATTTTTTTAAACTTGTTGCATTTATATTGTATGTGAATGTTCGTCCACTAAAAAGAATTTTTTGCATTCTAGATTGCTCCCTCGGCGAAGAAGCTCTGGGGTGTGGACGAGGGTGGATCCAAAGATGAAGGTGGTGTAAAAGGCGGTGGGATACTACACCTGGATGCCCATCAGATGTGGAGGGATTCAACTTGGAGTACATCAGGTAAAATCTTGCTCTAATATTTTCGTTTTAGGTACATGGAAAAACTGTTGAAATGACTGCTTACCTAATGCTTACCACCGTAAGTGCCATGTTTCAAAAGTCACCTTTAATATTTAGAGAGTTGGGTTTCTATTCAAGGCGATTAGAATCCTTTTCGTTCAATTTCGAACCCATGAACTTGCTGATCAGCTAGTTTGGGATAACTGCTGACTACTTGAAAAGCAGTTCTTACACTAAAAATAAGTTCTACTCACAGTAATGCTACAATCATCTCAACAGTTTTTTTTTGAGTAATGCAACGGTGATACTTTGGATTAAGACTGGAAGAATGTTTAGGCTGACTGTTAACTTTCGTTGTACTTCCTTCTAAAATTTTATCGCCTGAATTTTCATTTTTTGGAAAATTTTAATGATGCTTAAATCGAAACTAAACTCTCTTAATGGTTTTTTGTTATTATTGGGTTCTTTTTCCTCTTTCTTCATTCCACGATGTCAATGTGGATTGGATTTTTAATTTTTTACACAGAGGTTTAGTGGAAAAATCGAATCGACTTTGCCTCGTAAACTATGAAATTACCACGAATTTTAATACAAAACATTCAGTTTTTTCTATTTCTGACAATAATTTCTTTTTAAATAACTTCATTTTTCAAGAACTATTATAAAATTATTACTTAGAAATTATTTAATAAATAATTTTACTTAAAAATTTCAAAATCAATTGGATTTCAAAAGAGTTTTGTTTAAAATCTTCATAAATAGATGGACTACATAGGTTTCAATTTAAAGTTTTAGAAAATTTCAATTTTTAATAAATTTAAATAGACATTTTAAGAAAAACTTATTACTTATTCTCGTCAACATTTCAATTATCTTTATAAATAATAAAATTCTTCTCCGAAATTCAATTATTTTCAAAAAATTTAATAAAATTCTTGGAATAATTTCAATTATTTTCAAAAAATTTTCCTCATTTTAATTCTTTTTAATATCTACTATTTCAATAAAATTTTCCAAAAGAATTCAATTATTTACACAAAATTTTAATAAAAATTTCACAGGAATTTAATTAGTAACATTTTTTATATAAATTTCTTCGTACAAATTGAATTATTTTTGATTTTTTAATGAAGTTTCTCGAAAGAATTCAAATATATTCAGAAAATTGAAAAAAGCAGTTCTGAGAAATACAAGTATTTCGAAAAATTAAAATAAAATTCTTTTAAAAAATGTTGACAAAATTGAAAACAAGATTTAGTTAATAAAATTGTAATTTTAATAAAATTTTTCTATACAATTCAATTATTTTCACAAATAATACATTTTTGTACGGGAATTCAATTATATTTAAAAAAAATTGAATAAAATTCTTTCCAAGAAATCAAATTTATTATTTTAAAAAATTTTGATAAAATGCTGTATAAATTTGAAAAATTATAATAAAATTGATCACAGAATACAATTATTTTCGCAAAATATAACATTCTTCTTAGGAATACAATTATTGTCAAAAATGTTTGTAAAAATCTTCGAAACAATTTAATTACTTTCGTAAAAAATAAAATTCTTCCCAAGAATTAAATTCTTTTCAAAAATAAAATTTTTCACTGGAATTCAATTATTTAAAAAAATAAAATAAAATTCTTCATCAGATTAAAATTATTTTCAATTTTTTTAATGAAATTTCTCGAGGGAATTTAATTATTTTCAAAAAGTTCTGAGAAATTCAATTATTTAACAAAATTTTGAATAAAATTCTTTACAAGAAATTAATTATTTTCATAAATAACAAAACTTATCGTAGAATTTCAATTATTTTTATAAAATTTTAAATAAAATGATAGAAAATTGTATTTTTAAATTTTTTTTTAAATTCACCGAAAGAATTCAATTGTTTTTAAAAAATTTGATAAAATGCTTCATAAAAATTCAATTTTAAGAAATATTCTATTATAATAAATTATTTATTTTTGTATTTAAATAATTTAATTCTCGAAAAATTTTCTATTAAAAATTTATAAAAAATGAATTTCACTTAAAATTTTAAATTATAATTGAATATTTATTTACTTTAATTTTTTTAATATTTGTTAATTTTTAAAAATAATTGATTTAAGAAAGAATTTTAGTTAAAAACACTAAATAAAAATTAAATCTTGAAGAAGTTTCAAACGATTGCAGAAATTCAATTATTTTCCAAAGTAAAACAATTTTTTCGCAGAAATTCAATTATGTTCAAAAATATTTAAAAATTCTCGTAAAAATTTAAATTACCTTTATAAATATAATAATAAAATATTTTTCTACGAAATTCAATTATTTTCAAAAAATTACTTTCATTTAATGATTTTCAGTATCGAATTTTTTATTTATTTTATTATTTATTTTAATAACATTTATTAAAAGAATTTAATTATTAAAAAAAAAGTTCTAATAAAATTCTACACAAACATTTACCTATAATTATTTTCCTAAATAATAAAAATTTCACAGGAATTCAATTATTTACTAATTTCTTATAAATTTCTTCGCAATAATTCAATTATTTTCAAAAATAATAAAAGTTTTTACTTAAATTTTAATAAAACTTAGAGCAGAATAAATTTCAATTATTTTTTAATAGAATATTAATCGAATTTCTTGAAAAATGTAATAATTGTTAAAATTTTATTAAAATTCGTTGAAGGAATTCAATTATTTAAATTTTTGTTAATAAAATTCCTTATGAGAATTCAATTTTAAAAAACATTTAATTCTTCAATAAATTATTTATTTTTGCATTTAAATAATTGAATTGTCTTAGAATTTTTGAATACAAATTTATTTAAAAATTAATTTTAGTTACAATTTTTAATAGTAATTGAATATTAAAAGCATTATAACGTAAATTTTTAGAAATAATTGAATTTTGAACATAAAGCTGAAACTGGCACCTCCTTATCAGCATCCTCTTAATTTGGAAATTAAATTTTAAAGTTAAATATTTTTTATGAAGCTGCAACTTCCACCTAGTTATCAGCTCAAACCTTGTTATCCACTTAATTTTTTCAAAAATTTATGTTGGTTCTAAACAAAACAATATTTAACTTTAAAATTTGATTTTCAAAAATTAAGTAGATGCTGATAACAACCTATTATTGAAATAGTGACAGAAGCTGTATTTAGAATTAATAACACTGATTCATCTGGATCATAATCTGAGCATTTGCCGAAAACTTCCTATTTGTCCGAATATGTCTCCGAATCTTAAATAAATATGTGAATTCAAAACAACTGTTCATAGGCCTCTTCAATATTAAATTATTGGAAAAATGTACTACTATGAAAAGCCGCGTTGCTTGTCGGGAAGTTCCGTCATTTAGGATGATCGACATTACCAACATTGAGATGAATATTTTATTTTGAAAACAAAACATTTTGTTTGTATTGATTAAAAATGTTGAGAATAACGATCGCTCGGAGTTTTTTGCTTGTATTATTGAAGAAAAACTTCATCATTGCTGCTCTTAGGGGATTTAAGATATTCATTAGAATACTAATATTTTTATATACAAATCACAGTTGGAATAATAATCTCAATTTTTGAACTTAGTAAACAAGTTCAGTAGTCAATACGCAAAACATTTCAAAATTAATACTCAACTTCAAAAGGTTTAAATTTGAAATTTTATAAACTTTCAATTTTTAGTTTAGGTTTTAAATTGATTTCGCTTCAAATGAATGAAACTTGAAGAGTCTGTTATGTTATATTTATGTAATTTTCACAACTTGATAGTTTTTGTAATATTTTAATAGGTTTCACGTTCTCTAAGAGTTACTTCACGTCACTTGCATCTGTTACGGAAAGAAACTTGTTTCCAAGTATGCGAGAAGCAACTTACGTTTTTTTATGGGAAAATTCTTTAAACAACTTTTGTATTCAGCATTTTTGTCCTACTGTTTATTTAAAAATGTTTTTTAAAATTAATTAAAATTCATCTGACAAATGGAAATTTTAAGTTATTTTCTACTGAAAACATCACTGTGAAAATCAATAATAACTATTTTCGTTTTATTTTTCCCGTGAAAAATATAATTGGTCAGGGAAATCAGGGAAAAGTCAGGGATTTTTAGTAAAAGTAGTGGAAGAAAATGAATTTTTAAAATTCATGAGAAAACTCTGAATTTTGATGTTTTTTTTGTTTGCCTTGTAAACTATGAAATTACCACAAATTTTAATACAAAACCTTCAATTTTTTTATTTCTGACAATAATTTCTTTTTAAATAACTTCATTTTTCAAGAACTATCATAAAATTATGACTTAGAAATGATTTAATGAATAATTTTTACAATTTTCATAAATACTAGATTGACAGAAGAATTTTAGTTAAAAATACTTAAAAAAAATTGAATTTTGGAAAAGTTACAAATGATTCCAGAAATTCAATTATTTTCAAAAGTAATAATAATTCTTCACAGAACTTCAATTATGTTCGAAAAATTTTTAAAAAATTATCGTCAAAATTTCAATTACCCTTATAAATAATAAATTCTCGTCAAAATTTCAATTATCTTTATAAATAATAAAATTCTTCTTCAAAATTCAATTATTTATAAAAATTTTAATAAAATTCTTGTCAAAATTTTACAGGAATTCAATTATTTAAAATACAAAATTTCATAAAATGTTTCGAAAAATATCAATTATTAAAAAAGGTTTTTATAAAATTCGTCGCAAAAATTCAATTATTTAAAAAAAATTTAACAAACTGCTTTTCAAGAATTCAATTATTTTTATAAATAATAAAATTCTTTACTAAAATTCAATTATTTTTGTAAACTTAAATAAAATTCGTTGCAAGAATTCAATTATTTATATAAATAATAAAATTCTTTACAGAAATTCAATTATTTTTATAAACTTGAATAAAATTCGTTGCAAGAATTCAATTATGTTCAAAAATTAAAAAAAATTCTTCTTAAAATTTCAAGTATTTTTGTAAATAATAAAAATTCTTGGCAAAATTTCACAAGAATTCAATTATTTACAAAATTTTTAATAAATTTCTTCGAAACAATTAAATTATTTTCATAAGTAATAAATTTTTTACAGGAATTCAATTATTTTAAATACAAAATTTCATAAAATTTTTCGAAAAATATCAATTATTAAAAAAGGTTTTTATAAAATTCGTTGCAAAAATTCAATTATTTAAAAAAAACTTAACAAACTTCTTTTCAAGAATTCAATTATTTTTATAAATAATAAAATTCTTTACTAAAATTCAATTATTTTTATAAACTTGAATAAAATTCGTTGCAAGAATTCAATTATTTATATAAATAATAAAATTCTTTACAGAAATTCAATTATTTTTATAAACTTGAATAAAATTCGTTGCGAAGATTCAATTATTTTCAAAAGTAATAAAATTCTCCGCAGAATTTCAATTATGTACAAAAATTTTTTAAAAATTCTCATCAAAATTTCAATTATTTTTATAAATAATAAAATTCTTCTCCGAAATTTAATTATTTTAGAAAAATTTTAGTAAAATTCTTGGGAAATTTCACAGAAATTCAATTATTTACAAAAGTTTTAATAAATTTCTTCGAAATAATTCAATTATTTTCATAAGTAATAAATTTTTTACAGGAATTCAATTATTTTAAATACAAAATTTCATAAAATTTTTCGAAAAATATCAATTATTAAAAAAGATTTTTATAAAATTCGTCGCAAAAATTCAATTGTTTAAAAAAATTTAACAAACTTCTTTTCAAAAATTCAATTTATTTTAATAAATAACAAAATTCTTTACCGAAATTCAATTATTTTTGTTAACTTGAATGAAATTCGTTTGATGAATTCAATTATTTATATAAATAATTAAAGTTTTTACAGAAATTCAGTTATTTTTATAAACTCGAATAAAATTCGTTGGAAGAATTAAATTATTTTCAAAAGTAATAAAATTCTTTGCAAAAATTCAATTATGTTAAAAAATTAAAAAATAAATTTTTGTCAAAATTTCAAGTATCTATAAATAATAAAATTCTTCTCCGAAATTCAATTATTTTAGAAAAAATTTTAATAAAATTTTTGGCAAAATTTTAATTATTTTCATAAATAATAAAACTCATCGGAGGATTTTAATTATTTTTAATACAATATTTTAATCGAATTCCTCGAAAAATGTAATTATTCTTAAAAATTTTATTAAAATTTGTCAAAAGAATTCAGTTATTTAAAAATTTGTTGATAAAATTCTGTATGAGAATTCAATTAAATTTTAACAAACATTCAATTATTTAATAAATTATTTATTTTTTAATTTAAATAATTGAATCCTTTCAGAATTTTCTATTAAAAATTGATTTAAAAATGAATGACCGAATAGTCGATTTATTATTTATAAAAACAATTGAATTCTTGCAAAACGAATTTTATTACATTTTTTTAAATAATTGAATTTTTTTGAGAAATTTTACTACTTTTAAAAATAATTGAATTCTTGCGAAGGATTTTATCAGGAATTTTATAAATAAATGTAATAGAACACTTTTTTGAGTATCTAATAATTTTTAGAGTGAATCGCAGAATATTCTTTAGGATCAGGGAAAAAGTCAAAATTAGTCAGGAAAAAGTCTGGAAATTAGGAAAAAGTCAGGAAAAAATAAAATTAAATATTTGTGTTAACCCTGTGAAAAGAATAACCCCCCACCCCTTTTTTAAATTATAAAATTTATTTAATTGCAAATGAACTTATTCCCGCTGTTGAATTTCAGATCATGCAGTATCACAACCAATCTCCATGAGCGCAGGCAGAAGAATGGCCGTTAGCACTGGATTTCATCATCAAGCCTCGGAAGTTGGAGCCGTTCTCAGTCCCAGGAGCAGGTGAGTTCCTTGAAATGAGAATAAATAAATTTACTAATATTTTTTTCCCCTAATAATTGAAAATTAAAACCAAAAATGTGTTTAACTACAAGTAAAAAATATATTTTTAGTGAAACTGGCGGACTTGGGGTGAAAATGGTTGAATATGTTCTCGGTGGTTCGAGCCCTACAACACCAAAAGACTTGGACCCAAGAATGGTTTCTCTTAGATTAGTAAGTAATCCAAAAGTTATATATATCATTTGTTCTCTAAATCGATTCGTTAATTTTCATCCAAAGTTTGTTGGAAGTTCTTTGATTTTTTACTTGTAGTAAAAAATTAATTTCTCCAAAGTACCACGCGGGGTCCTCTCCATATAATGTATAGTTTTCGTTTGAATAATTATTCCTCTGTAATAGAATTTTTACTTTTTATAAAAGTGATTAACCTTGAAATTTAAAATTAATTTTCGATTAATTTCGAATCTTGATTGAAATTTATTAATAGCAGAATTTTCGAAAAGTTGAAAAGTATGAGGGCAATAATAAACTTTAGATGAAAGTTACTGAATTGGTGGATGTGATATTTATTGAGGAGTTTTTATGTCAAAAAAATGAGTAACGATTTCTTTTTTTTTTGCCAATGTTTAGAACACAGACGCTGATAAGAAAGAAAAGGAGAAAGGCTCTACAAGTCCTTTTGATAATTCAAAAGATGACAATGGTCCTCAAGGCAATGGACTTACATCACAAAATGGTTTAGATGATGACAAAGGGTTTAAGTACGTATTACAACACGAAATGCCATTTTTGTACCGGAATCTTTACGTTCGGTGATTGATAGGTCGGGGTCAGGTTGACAGTTTGGCAAATTTCGAGGTTTCAAATAATTACGTTTAATTACGTTTAGATTCGTTGATGACTAAGGCTCAGATTTTATCAACATTCGAAATAATATTCTCTGATGGGTTTTTCTTCTCCTTCTTCTCTTTGTATGATTTGTAAGAAAAAACTATCGGAACCGAAAATAGAAGATAAGTTTATAACAGAAGAAATTAAAAGTAATTGAATTTTCATTCTCACGAATTTTCTGTTGCACAAAAATCTATCGGAGAAGAAAAATAATTTGTAGAAATTTCTACTGCTCATAAATAGTATTTATAGGAATTTTTAGGTTATAAAAATAATATATTGCCGTTGGTACTTTAAAAGATTTTCTTTTCGAAATATTAACGAAAATTCATCTTTTTTTAAAAAATATAATTTTTCTAACAGTTTTTCTTTAAATTTAAAAAAAAAATTCAGAATTATTTGAACAACTCGTGTGGAAATCGCCAAGATATTTCTGACAACAACTTGAATGTAAAATATTTTTGATTGAATAATTGAACTTTCAAGTGAAACTGGAAAAATCCTGTTGATAAGTTTAATTCTTCATTTATTTAAAATTCAAATTTTTTCCAAATTTTCAATTAGAATTCTTCGAAAATACGATTATATTTCTAAATAATTTTTAAAAGTAAACAAATTAAATTTATTTTAATAAAATTTTACAAAATTTCCAATTGTTTCAATTTTTTAAAAATTGTTTTCGGAAATTCAAGAATATTTTCAAAAAATGTTAATTTCAAATTTCAATCATTTTTGTAAAATAAATATTTAAATACCTACTTATTTTTCTTTATTTGCTTAAAATTTCGAAATACTTTCAATTTAAAACCATTTAAAAAATTTGTTATGAAAATTTGAACTGTGCAACTCTTTCCAAATTCAATTATTTTTTTAGAATTTTTGAGTATTATTGAAAACTTTTCATTTCCAAAGAAGGTAACAAATTAATAATTTTTTTAAACTTAAATATTATTATACTTTTACAGCAATTCAATTATTTAAATAAAAAAATAAATAATTAATAACATAATTTATTTAAATAATTGAAATCTCAAATTTTTTTTATAAGAATTCATTTGAAAGAGAATTTCAGTTAAAATTTTAGAAAATATTTCTAGAATTGAAAGAATTGCTGTTCTAATTTTTAGAAATAATTAAATTTCAAAAGCTTCAACATTGAAAGTATTTTGAAATTTTAATTTCTGGTGGGCAAATAAATAACAATAAGTATTCAAATATTTATTAAACAAACAAAAAAAAAAATTTCAAAAAGTATTTTGAAATTTTAATTCCTGGTGGACAAATAAATAACAATAAGTATTCAAATATTTATTAAACAAAAATGAAATAAATTTGAAAAATTTTATTTAGAAATTCTGCAAAAAGATATTTTGAAAAATCGTAATTCAAATTTTTTGAAAAATGGTTGAATTTCCGAAAATAATTTTTAAAAATTGAAAAAATAGTCAATTTTCTCAAATTTTATGTTTAAAAGAATTTTATTTTTTCACTTTAAAAAATAATTCTTAAAAACTTTATTGTATTTTTTGAGGAATTGTAACTAAAAATTTGGAAAATAATGAAATTTTACAAAAATTATTTTATTTAAATAATTTAATTTTCATAGTTGAATTCTGGTTAAGAATAAATTTAAAAAAGAATTTCAGTTAAAATTTTGAAAAATAATTGAATATTAGAAGCTTTATAACACGAATTTTAAGAAATAATTGAATTTTAAAAAGGTTTAAATTGAAATCTTTTTAACATTTTCATCGCTATGAAAGTATAAATGTTTATTTAAAAAAATGATTAATAGATTATTTTCCTTTAATAATTATTAAATTCTTGAATAATTTTATTTAAAAATTCTAAAAATATAATTGACTTTTGGAAAAATTGCAGTTGTAATTTTTAGAAATAATTAAATCTCAAAAGCTTTTACATTGAAATTATTTACAATTTGAATTAAAATAAATAAAAAACAGTTTTTTAATATTTTTTCAACAAAAATAATTATTGATATTTAAAAAAATTTAATGTAGAAATTCTAAAAAAAATTAGGTGTTGAAAAATTGTAATTAAAATTTTTTTTAAAATAATTGAATTCCGCCAAATTTCAGTTATTTTAAATAATAGTACTGCAATTTATAAATTCAACAGTCGAACCTGTTGGAATGCAACTATATTTTAAATATTCTTTTTGCATTCAAAAATGTCAAACAAGAATTATTTTCACTTAGTTCCAGAATATTGTAAAAATATTACAAAATCAAATTAAAAAACAAGTTTTTAAGGATTGTTTACTTTAATAAAATTGAAAAAATCGAGTTGCATTCCGACAGGTTTCACTGTAACCTAAAAATTCATATAAATATCATTTGTAAGCAATAAAAACTTCTACATATTATTTTCCGATAGATGGAAAATTCGTATTAGAAATACGAATAGAATACGTTAGAAAATCGTAATAATTAAGGAAGAATCTGACAAAGAATCGGATCAAAAGTTAGTCCAATGTCATAATTTCGTGTTTTAAAAGAGAAGGTCTTAAATTTTTTATTTCTTTCGGTAGAAGCGTAAGGAATTTAATTTTCTACATTTTGAACAATTTAAAGTTATATTTGAATATAAATTATACTTTTTTGTCAATAATAAATAATTTAAGTAACATAACCTAAAATTAAAAAATATTTCTTATTGACATTGCAAATTTTTATTTAAATGCAACTTTAAATCGTTTTAAATGTTCAAAATTAAATTCTTCGCCTTTCTATCAAAACGAATTTAAAATTGAATTTTTCTTTTTCTTTTAAATTACGAAATTATGACATTACTAACTTTTATTTTGACTGTCCGTCGGATTCTTCCGGGACGCATGATTCTTCCCCAAATGTCATTTTTCCGAAATGTCATTTTACCGAACTGCACTTTTGCGAATAGTCATTTTTGCGAAAAGCCAATTTTGCGAATTGTCGATTTTCCAAAAAGACATTTTTGCGAATTGTCATTTTTACGAAAAGACATTTTTGTGAAATGTAATTTTTGCGAAAAGCCATTTTTGTGAAATGTCATTTTTACGATTAGTCATTTTTACGAATTGCCATTTTTGCGAATTGTCATTTTTGAGAAAAGTCATTTTTACGAATTGTCATTTTTGCGAATTGTCATTTTTGCGAAAAGTCATTTTTACGAATTGTCATTTTTGCGAATTGTCATTTTTGCGAATTGCCATTTTTGCGAATTGTCATTTTTGCGAAAAGTCATTTTTACGAATTGTCATTTTTGCGAATTGTCATTTTTACGAATTGTCAATTTTCTGAAAAGTCATTTTTGCGAATCGACATTTTTACGAATTGTCATTTTCCGAAAAGTCATTTTTGCGAATTGTCATTTTTGCGAAAATTCCTATAGGGAATCTATATGTCCATACAAGTTTACTATAGGAATTTTCGCAAAAATGACAATTCGCAAAAATCACTTTTCGGAAAATTGACAATTCGTAAAAATGTCGATTCGCAAAAATGACAATTCGCAAAAATGACTTTTCGCAAAAATGACTATTCGCAAAAATGACAATTCGTAAAAATATCGATTCGTAAAAATGGCGATTCGCAAAAGTGACAATTCGCAAAAATGTCTTTTCGGAAAATCGACAATTCGCAAAATTGGCTTTTCGCAAAAGTGGCTTTTCGCAAAAATGACTATTCGCAAAAGTGCATTTCGGAAAAATGACATTTGGGGAATAATCATGCGTCCCGATTCTTCCTTAAATAACTGTTGAAACAAAATAAATGCGTCGCTTCACGGTAAAAAGGGACCTACCTCAAAAAAAAATTTTAGGTTATGTTTGACACCAAATATGAAATAATTAATTACATTAGAAATTTTAATTCAATTGAATACTATTTTTCATTTTGGATTTAAGTTGCTTCTTGTGATGCGAAGGTTCTAAATGGTATTTTTCGAATTTGGAGGGAAATAGTCTGAGTTTAACGATTTTCCTGCAATGAGGGCCGCGTTAATGCTTTTAGAGTGAGCTCTTCAGTGAAACATTCATAGGTGTTCGTAGGTAGAATGCAAGGAGAATGAGGCTGAGGTGGCTACGCTTTTGGCACTTTCCAGGACATTAAAGTCACATTCCCCAGTAGTTGAAGTAGAAACTATCTGTAAAGCGGTCAGGAAATTTCGAGTGCCAGGGTCAATAATTAGGTCGATCGAAAGTGTTTTACTAGTATAGAGGTTTCTTATCTAATCTTCAGTTAATCTACAGTTGGCACCTAAGTCGTAACCCTATTGCACCTGAAAATTCCGACAGTTACTAAGCAAGTATTCAGCAAGCATTTCAAATTAGATATTTATTCTTCCCCAAACAGGCAAAATTTCTTTACCTCACAAGTTGCTGAACTGCTGTGGGCGAACAAATTTAATGCTATTTGTAACAATCATTATTAATCATTATTATTGTAATCCTCGCCTCGGAAACAATTTTTTTCTTTTGATAATTATTTATTTTAATGTCAGAAGCAATTTTAAAAAAATTCCAAGAGGTTCCAAGTCGGGAGAAGTAGTGATTTTTTTTGTCACGGATTTTCCGAAAATTTCGAAATTTCAAGTAAATTGCTAATCCCTTGCTTTGAAAGCAATTTTTTTCTTTTGATAATTTTTTATTTTAATATTAGAAGCCATTTAAAAATGATTCTAAAAGGATCTGAGGCGAGAAAAGCAGAGATTTTTGTTTTTAATTGAAAATCCGCGATTTTTGAAAGATCTACGACAGAAAAAATTCAAAGTTCTCTTGGCATCTTTTTTAAATGGCTTCTGATATTAAAATAAATAATTATCAAAAGAAAAAAATTGTTTTTAAGTCGAGGAATGAAATATTTACTTGAAA